AGATAGGGGAGGAAGTTATGTTTTTACATTTTAAATCTCTGTGACCTCGGAAAGGACAGTCCAGTTTCATTAATAAACGATATCAGAACGGGTGAAAGACAGCTGATCAAGTCTTCGCGTCCCTGACAGACACATCCCTGACAAACACATAGAGAAAGGTGCTGCTAAACTGAAGTGTTTTTCAGTCCTCTGGGAGCCTGTAGCGTAGCCTGTTTCTTTTTGCTGTAGCAAAAGGCTCAGGCACACTATCTAATGTGAACCTCAGTGAAAGAGGTGTAAGCTCGCGACTTTAACCTCACAACTAAGGTAGCTCAGAAAATGTGCACGGATGGTTCTAGTTGCTCAGCTAACGAACAGTAAGCTGTTGTGCTGCCAGCGCTCAGTCACATTCAATCTTGGGTAGCATCCCTAAACAAAACTGCATTCATTTTCAAACTACCCAATGAAACATTCCACATCTTTCATCAATCTCTCTCTTATGTGGTTTTGTATGAGAGAAGTTGAGGTAACAGCTATGGAAATGGATACTGAACATCCTTACAAATCTTTCTTGTTGTCACCTAATAAAGAGGTCTTTCTGCAGAAAGTAAACGAAGCAAAATTTTGGGCCTACAGATTCACTGGAGCTCTTTACTGCTTGTGAAAATTCAGTTATTTCCCATGAAAGTTGGACCAGACTCAGAAGGGATAGGCAGATGTATGATGGATTATGATATATGCTGAACAGATAGTATTATAAGTCAATGAAGAAAGTAATATTGTTGATTTCAAATAAGCTGTCTCCATCTATCAGCCCATTACTGTCCAAAAGAGCTGAGCAACCCATAGATGGGTTCTTTCTGTACAGTGCCAGCGAGTAATTGTGATTATTGACTTGAAACACACACATTGCTCTGAAAATGTATTTCTATATGACATATTGGGAAAAGATTAATTCTAAACTAAAACATGAGAAGACTTTATTATTATTTAGATTGAATTTTTGCATGAAATCCCAGTATGACTTTATATTTTTCATGTAACTGATGCACAGATCAGAGTAGCTGAAGGCTAGTATTGCTGCTGTGGTATTTAGCTCAAGACACATTTCACTGCACATGGAATATCATCATTCTATTACGCGACTGCATTGGATGGTAAATATGTTCATGAAGTTGATGCAGCACGAACTTTCCTTCATTCTCGCAAGATACACTTTTGATAGTGTTTGAGAAGGACTTGGGATTCATTGTATTGGAGATTTGCAGCCCTCTCTCAGGGCATATGGTGAGTAGTAAAAGTGCAAGATTCCTGATTTTTCCTGTCAGGGTGCTTCAGGGCTGACCTACCTGGGCTACACCCTAGGGTGTGACAAGATAAAGCACTATCTTCAGTTCTGAACTCACCTGCAGTGACTACTAACAAAGGGCACTAATTAATATCAGTTTGATTGTGTAAAACGTGACAATTGCATATATGGCCATTGTACAATAATGTTTTCTAGCTACTGGCAGCCTCTGCCAGATTTGAACAGGTGACCTGGCAATAAAAAGCCTCTGTAGCCCATTATCAATTCCAAAATTCAGTGTTTTGATAACTCTTACATTTTTATTGGCAGCTGTCTGCTACTTCCTCGTCAGAATGCTGTGTCAGTGATTTAACCTTGAGTATACATTAAGCCTCGTGGGGATGCCATTATATACAGGATCTGGAATTTAGGATTTGACTGAATCAGATCTGATGCTAGCAGAATGTTTTCCCTGATCGCTCAACAGCTATTCTTCCTTGCCTCAGCCTTTTCCCTTTTTAGAGGCTTTTGTGGGCTCCTGCTTAATGGGCCTTGGCTCAGGATTTCTTTTAATCCCTTGTGCTTTTGTGCTTTTCCTGTCAGACACGCAGCGTGTGGCATATTCCTATTTCTCAGGCTTTCAACAGTTCTGAGCAGTATGGCATTCTTTCTATTTCATTCCTATTATTTAGGGTGAAAAAGCACATGCATGCAGTAAGCTTATTGAAAAATTCCCACTTTGGACACCACTATTCTTGACATGATGCCTACAGACTTTAGTTGCTGAAGGATCTGTATAATAATGAACTTCAGTTTCCTGGATTAGAGGTAAACAAATAATTGACAGCACTTAGTTTGCAAAGATACTGTGCTAAGCAGAAACCAAGCAATTCTGTCTTCTTGAATGTGAAAGTAGGCAGCTCTAGTGCATCTGCCATTCTCAGAGCCTGGCTGAGGAGCAGCATGAAGTTAACAAAAATCGTAGATCATTTCCTGTTTACAATTCGCAATTTTGTGGATTACAGTGAGATTTACATCACTCTGGCAGTGCTGTTGCTTCAGAAAGTGTAGGAAGCAACCCTTGACAGTGTTCAAAGGAGAACATGGAGGACTAGCTAGGAGGAAGCTTTGAGTAACTGAGACCAAATGTGCTTGGAGCCTTAATATCAACCCAGAAGCTGATAGCTTGGTCCTGTAGCAAAAACCTCTCCCTTTACATCTGCTGGATCAGGAAGGAAAGAAAGTGCCTTTCCATCTCCTAGAAGACTGGAGGAGAGACTGCAGGGAATGCTGCGTGTGAGCAGATTTCGTATCTATCACATGCTCCTAAGCCATAGATTGATATCAGTGATGACGGGACCACAGACATTACCCTTTTGAAAAACCCAATAGCAATGCATTCTGCTTTTTTATATATACATCTGATTGTTAGAGTTTGGGATGTTTTTCAGGCTCACTCTACTGTGTTGTAAGAGGAGAAAGAACTAAAAGAAGAAAGATACAGAATATAAAGTTAATAAGCTATTTTTAAAAAAGCAGCTCTGGCCTCCATTCTTCACTTGTTGGTGATTTGTTCAAGCAAGAAGCTCAGGACAGAATCAAAGACCAGGTCACAGGATAATTGGGAGTAACTTGTCTGAATGGTCAGCTCTGAAAATTGTTTTTATGGTTTGTTCAGAGCACTAAGACATTTAAAGACATTTCATTCTTTCAGTTAAATTGCTACTTGCTCTAATTTTTTTCCCTGCTTAATAGTTCCATAAAAATTGTTAACTATCTTTGTTACTATCTTTGAGGAATACCATCGGCACCAACTCTGTCTTTTCCAGCATGATTTAGAGATGTAGGCTCATTTAAGCCAGCAGACAATTAGAAAGGATTTTTAATGTAAACTGTCATTTTTTTTTTCAATGGAAAACAGCATCAGTTCACTACTACCGACAGCAGATGGTAGCATTCTTGCATAAGTTATCCATTTGCACTGAAATGTAAAACAAAGCTTTCTGAACATTGTTTTTTATATACTCTGAAGCTTCTGGGAGTTATTTAAAGTTCTCTTAGAGACAAAATGGTTTGTCCTCATGAGTGTGTTTTCAGCATAAGAACCAAGTGTCCTTCAACTGTAAGAGATGTGATTTAATATTTAATGATATCGAACATGTCCTGGTCTCTGAAGATGACGGAAAACATCTGGTGGGACAGGATTTGGTTTTTGTTTGTATGCAGGAGGATGGAGAAAGAGTTTTTACTATACAGCAGAAAGACTAAGTCTGTCAGGATCTTCTCTTTAGTGCAGGCAGTGTGCTAGATCTTGAGAAAAAATGCAGTTACAGAACTTCTGGAGTCTAATTGCAACTATAGCAACCTGGTCAAAGGAAGCCCCTTCAGGAGCATAAACTTATTTTAGTTTCTTCTTTGCCATCCAAATACAGAGCCAACACAAGGAGAGCAGTTAAGGAAAAGGGCCTTTACCTAAAGTAAAGCACCCATCACATCAGTCCTCAGTCATCTCTGCTGTGGCTCTTGAGAGCAGCATAGCACAGTGGACTGGCCACCCACAGCTAAGTGAAAAGCACGGTGTAGGGGTGGTGATCCTGCTGCTCTTTTAGTCATGGTCCATACCCAATTCTCCTCACCCCTCTGCCCTGTATCATGTGCCTCTCAGCTCTGGCACAGTCCTGGGCCTAGTGACAGCTAAACACAGTCTATGTTCGTTTGTAAGTAGGCTATCATGGTGTCTCATATTTGACATCTTTCTTGTCTGAAATCACTTTCCAGCTGTTCCCCACAGTGCTATATTAAATGCTTATGCCCCTTATTGAGTGTGGGGATGAGGTAGGATTTGTTTATTTTGGTGTGGCAGCAGTAACAGTGACCTCACCAGCATTAAAGGAAAATCACTTCCCTAGTGCAGAGAGTGTGAGACAGTCAGATGTGCTGCTCTGGTGGTGTCACCAGTGTAAGAGCAGATGAGATCACTGTTACGGTTTTGCATTTTGAGTGCAAGTTTGATTAAGTCAGGACACATATTCTGTTTGAATGTCTTTTGGAGGTGGAAAGTAAAATAGAAAGTCTTTTTTATGCTGTAGGGAGTCTGACTGCACACTTAATTGTCACTAGATGTATTCTTTTTCTTGTGGCTGATTTTAGCTGGGATTCTTGGGAGACAACTGCATTTTTGGACCTTTTCTGTTAGTCTAGCCTAAAATGAGGACATCCCATCTCGTGGAAGTTAAAGCCACCACGAGGGCTCTTCCTGCATCCTTCTTGCTCCCCCTCACAGGCTACAGGCTCTTACATATTTATGTCCTAGCACCAGTTTAACAAGATCCAAGGATAAAGAGTCAAAGCTGTAACAGAGCTTTTTGATGGAGCATCTTTGTTTTATGTACTACATTTGGTCAAACAATTGTTTACACAGTAGCTTTGCTCACGTGCATTCAGGTAGTGCTGATACAGGTAACTTGAGCTGCTTCTGAAAACCTTTACATTTTAGGTAACACTGTGACATAACCTGGCTGGTAGTCTTATATCTCTTTTGAGATAAGAGAATGTGCTCTCAAACATGAATTTGTCAGTGACTTTATCATTAGAAGAACAAAGTGGGTTAAATTCTGAAACAAGAAAAATTGCATTAAGGATTAAGTGGCCCTTGCTTTGTCTTTTTCCAATGCAAACTGTGTCTTTTCTGTTGCCCTTTTCAAATAATAAAACTGCTGAATTTCCTTCTTAGGAGCACCCCTTACTTGGGCAGCCATTTTTTGTCCTACATCCTTGCCGGACTAATGAATTCATGTCTTCTGTACTGACCAGTTCACGGAAAGAGAATAGGTGAGAAACACTAATGTGCTTTGTGAGGCTTTATGTGATGCATGTAAAATAAATCAGCTGAGAAATAGACATGGTCAAGACAACTCCCTTGGTCCAAGTGGAATAAAATCCTGGGTTGTCACTTAAAAGCTGAAAAACAAAATAAGCTTGGTGTAGATAAAGTGAAAGAATAACCTCATTTGAAATTACTGTATGACTGTCGGGTGTGTCTGCAATTCAGAAAAGTTTGAGATAATGTGTTTATGGGGTTTTGTTGTTGTTGTTTTTTTCTAGACGCACAAATTACATTACATCATGGCTGAGTTTTGTGGGCCCAGTTGTGGGTCTAAATCTACCCTTGAGTTATGCAAAACTAGCATCTGAGCAGAATACAAACGCTGATTTAATCGAAAGGTAAGAGAGAATTAAATCACCCTTTTTTCTGTCCCCACTCCCCATTCAAGAAGAACATCAGACGGACAGCTGGCAAAAAATCACCTCCTTTGGAGCTCTTGGTTCCATTCATTTAGGAGTCACCTTTTGACAATTTGCTTACAGAGCTGCTTATTGCCTTTTTTACTTTGCCCTGAAAGGTTGCACTAGGAGACGTGCGTGGCACACTGCCAACACCCTTTCTGGCTTTCAGGAGGTCCCTGACGTACTGGCGTCTGTGTCAGCTATGTCGGAGCATTTTCTAGTAGTGCCTCCAGCACCTGGTCGATAGTGTTACCTAGCATAACTCTGCTGCAGTGATCTGAATTTCATTCCTTCTCCATTTTCTGTTTGTTGTCCCCCCTTCAGGCCTCTGAGCTGAAGGACAGATTATGGTTAGCTGAAGCAAAGCTACTGCAGACTTTCCTAGGAATCAGACAAACACAGACCAAAGGAATCCCTCCTGAGTGGTAAGCAATGCAACTTGGGAAGACAACTGTTCAGGTCTCTTTCCTGACAAGAGCTTGCCTGGTTACCGTTAAAGACCTAAGAGCTGGCTACAGTTGGGACAATGACCCTCAAGTGCTACCAAGACATGAACTCCCTTGTGATAGCATTGACCACTTAAAGTTACTCATTTCTTTGCCTCTGTTTTATGGGAGCTGTGGCCTTAACAGGACTGCACCCAAACGCACAAGCCTTGTTATAGAGTTGAAGTGCTGGGTTTTGAATCTGCTAGAAGTATCCGCTAAAAATCATATTTCTAGAAAATCGTGCACCATATGTGAGGACACGTACAGCAAAACACGTTTTAGGATGTCATCTGAACCTGTAGCAATCAGTGCATGGGCTGGGACTGATTTCCCTAGGGACCACCTTCTCCAGCACACTGACACACGGGCCCTCCTGCGTATTCCACATCACGATACACTTTGTTGCCTGCACCATGCACACAACGTATCCTGTCCCGTGGTGCTAATCCCAGGACTGAATAATACTTTGCTGAGAATTTTTTTTGTATGTCATGCCTCAGGGAACAAACAGAATCCAGATTCTAGACAAATAGAGTACTTATAGTCTATATCTGACTAAGCATGTACAGTTCTGGAGTTCAAAATGCCTCATGCTCTAGGAGAACATCTGGCTTTTCCCTTCTTCACTGCCTCCAAAGGAAGCTTTGCCATACCCTGAGGGAGTTACTGTTGTAGTCAGTTAGTATTTCTCATTGTACTCCTACTTGTTCACAAGTTCAGTCCCCATCCAGCAGCCCTTATGCAAGCCTCCCCTGATAGCTGTTGAATTTTGAGAAAGCAGAAACTGCATAGTAGTGCAATCAGTGAAAAACAGATTAGAAGTAACTTCATATAAGTAATCTTGGATTCCTTCCCAATCACATTTTATTTGTAGTATAAAACAGAACACAAGTCCTGAGCAATTGAGATGGAATTACGGATTTTACTTTGTATGTTCAGCAATATGTCACTTGCATACTGAGTCCAACGTATGCCACATCAGAGGTGGAAACGTAAAACGCACAGGATTTCAAATTCTGGGCTTTCAGATGTTTTGATTGGTTGCATATTTTTAACTTGCATCATATGTTATTGGTGGGTTGAAATACAGTACAGTCTTTAAAATTCCATTGGTGCAGTTAAATTCTTTTGTCAGTCATTTGGAATTAATAATGAAAGCACATCATTTATCCCATTCTGGATCATAATCTGAAAAACCATTTTTCCATGTTAGATTTATGAAATACCACCTTCTGTTCGTGTAACAGGACAGCAGATACACTGTCTTTTTTAACACTTATGGTAACATATGCTTGATAATTACATCCATATCCCATTTTCATATTTAAGGGAGATTTATGCAGGAGGAGAAACAAAAAACAGATAACAGTTTTTTAGGAGCCCCATATAGAGGGTTAAATGTTCATGCCTGCTCCGTGATCTTCATTAGTGCTGCAGTGGAATAAAGCGGTAAAAGCACTCAGCCATTCTCAGCTACCCAGCATTTGTAGGGGCAGCTCTACATCAGCTTCTCCTGCCTCTATCCAGACTGGCACAACGTGCTGGCTAGCCCTTGAGACCCTTATTCCCCGGCTGGCCTCAGGTAGCTTTATTTACACCAGGGTCTGAATTAGCTTGTACTGTCCTTAGGATCAGGGAAGTGGAAAAAATTGACAGAGTTGCTCATATAAACCATCAACATTGAATGCTACATTGGCATATGTTGAGGATCAGTTATGCTCATCTTCCCATAGCATCACAGATGTTACCTGGCTCTGTGCTGTGGGTCAAATATGCAGAAGAAATTCCACTTTTAAAGAACATAAATAATAGAATGCAGTCCTGAATACAGAGTGGCTTTGGCTTTGGAATAATTTATAGTTGGAATGCTAGTTTCACTGTTTTAATATCCTGGGCAAGAGAGGATCCTTGATAAAGAAAGAAATAGTGACTCTTGAACACCTTCAAGTACTATCTTCAGTACTAGTTTTTAGACTTTCAGAAGCTTCAGCTGCCAAGATGCTGCTGTGCAACATGTATATTCATAGTGTCATAGATATTTCTTGGAGATGAGCTCTTCCTGTTTTTCTCTTGGAATCTGAAACCGTGGTATGACCGTACAATTCATAATAGGGTTTGACCAGTTGGGTTTCCTCACTGTACACAAGACTGCTTATTGCAAGTCTGTGAAATATCACTGTCCTACTCTGAATGTCAGCATCTCATCTTTGTAACACTGTGCATCAGACTATGTAACTTACAGCTTGTAATTAGAGACAAAAGAAAGCGTGTATGAATGAGTCTGGGAGAATATACGCCAGTCACCTTTTCCACTCCATTAGCATTCCACTGAACCTTAATCTTTTCCTCTTTTATTCAAGAATTACAAGAAAAATGAAATTTCTATGTAGATAAGAAATAAATAGTTCTTTTAGGTGCAGAAATTCTCAGTGCACCACATTACTCTCTAGCTTAATTTATCATTTCTAAACAAAATTGAGGATTATTTGGACAAGGCATTGTGCATTGTACTAAACTCAAGATTTCCTCTGTCAGAGACAACCCTAGGCACTTGTCTAATGGATGGCTGCACACAGCAGGATACTGCTTTGTCAGTATCCTGACAGTCACACTCTAACTTGTAGACATCCTCTGCCAGTAATCACTCCACCTCCTAGATATCTTATAACCATACATTCATTTGGCTAGAAACTCAAGTTGTTCCCAGTTTCTGAAGCTGTCTCTGCCTTGCTTCCTTCCTGCTGATAAAGCACCTCCAAATTCATCTGCAATGCCTTGACCTTGTTCCCACAGCTACTTAGACATGAAGATGATAATGGATTGCGTGGAATGGATGAGCAATCTGACGATTCCCCTGCCCCACTACAGTTCTTAACCTTTTGGCACCATAAATAGCTAAGTAACAGAGCAGTATCATCATCAATGTCAATATTTTCCTGAAATTTGTCCAGGAGGCCAAAACAAAAATTCAGGACAGTTAATAGAAATAGCCTAAGCTTAGATTGAGAAACAAATAAGAGAGAGCATAAATATGGGAACCAAAGAGGGGTATCCTATTTAGGTAACTACTTGTAATGACTTAAGTGGAATATAGGCATCTAATTCCCTCTTTAGATCTGTGCCTTAATGACTTGTGGAACATTTCACAGAAAATGTTTACTTTCAAAAGTCTTATTTTATTTCAAAATCAAGTTAACTAACTGCAGCGCTGTTTTATAATTTTATTTAGCAGATCTTTAGAAGATTCTTAGATTTGAACTTTGGGTTCTAGCTACATACGTTATCTGAAATATTGCAGAATAGCAGAAAACACTTCTGGATCCAGAATTTTGTGAGTTTGCTCAGTTGTTCATCCCTGTTAATCTGGGAAGACATCTTGAGGACCATTGCTTTCAGGGACTTTTTCTTAAGAGAACTGACTCATTCCTGCCCTTGATTACAAGAATCAGCCAGAAGAACAATTCTTACTTGTTCAGCTAAGCCAAAAAAATGCTTTTCTTTGGAACGCAATTACTAACTACATAATCCCTCATTTGTGTCAGCACAATCAGGTTAGAATTTAACCCCCAATCTGGTCTGCCGGAAGGCTTGTAGTTGGTTGGTTCTAGTTAGTTACTAAAAGAAACATTCCCTCAGTCAAATTGTATGCTTGTTTTCACAACAGTAAACGCACTGAGCTAGTTAATGAGAGCTGAATATGGTGAAGAAATCAATATCACTTCCTGCTGCAACTCCAGGAAGTTCAGCAAAACCTTTTCAGTAACTTTTTTTTTTTTGCCATTTGCTATGACTGCAATTTGGTAAGTTTGGACGTTGTATTTATATCGCATAGCATTTCAGCCCAGCACAAAAGAAAATGATTTCTCTTTCCTCTGAGCTGTGGAGTTAAAATTAATTCCTCCAAAACTCTTCTAGAGGATACAGTGTGCATGTATATCTGTGCACTTTTTAATAACATGTAGGCTTTCAAAAGTGTTTTGAAGAATTTAGAGTATCTCTCAGCAATAAGTTCTTACCATCTAGGAAAAAAAAAGGCGTAGATAAAGTTCATTCATAGTTGCAAAATTGTGACATCAAGTGGCTGTAGCATTAATTCCTAAATTTAAAAAGCCAGGTAAGAGAGTCATGCTAGGAGAGTAGTCTGGAAGAGAAGAACCGTGTATTGAATGCTTAGGAAGAATTAGAAAGGTGTTATGCCTATTGTCTTTATGTACTAGTTTTCATTCGAGTCTTGAAGTGTCTTAAAAGAAAACCCTACACCGCAAGGAATCTTTCACTTAACCACTTGAGAGCTTGTTGTAACTGTCACCTATTGAGCATGAATTTCTACTTAAAATGAGAGAACTGTTTACTGCTGTGTTTGAAAAGAGAATGATTTTACAGAAGCTTACCTTGAACACCTTCTTTTTCTCAAACCTGTTAGAGAACAACATGTTTTCCTCTAGTATTATTTTTCAATAATGTTGTTAGTACAACACAGTGGAAGAGGTAACCCTGTCTAAAGAGA